TTCTTCTTCTTCTTCTTCTTCTTCTTCTTCTTCTTCTTCTTCTTCTTCTTCTTGTCATTGTTGTTGTTTTTGTTGTTGTTCTTTTTGCTGTCATTGCCACTGCTGACAACACCTGCTAGAGTGGAGATGAATCGGGAAACTACACACCTTAATTGGACTCAAACCCCAAGATTCAAAGGGTTGGTCAATCTCACAAGAGACTACACCAGTGCGTTGACGGTCGGTGGGTGCTCTGGCGTGGTTTAATTAAATTAATGATCATTCTAACATGTGCGGTTCTAAACTCTCCCCCTTCTATTCTTTTGCATGTTATTCTCTAGTAACACCCTCTAAGCTTCTTCACTTTATTGACCCATTTATTATGTTCTAAGTGTCGCGATCTTACTCAAACTAAATTACACCTCTGTATTCGGTAACGAGTCTGTCTCTTATTTGCAATATTATATATTTTTTCTTTTCTTTAAAAAAATGTAGCCCTACTTAGTAGACATAGATAGAGCAATACCCCATCTCATGACCTTGTTTTCTGGCAAAACTTTTCTCGGGTATCTGAGATGGTCTTGGCAACAGGGGAAAGGTGTGAAGGGCTGGGGTTTGGATGATTTACAACTGTGTGGATCACATTATCGGGTTTTCCCAGCGGTAGGTCACCGGGTGGTTGTAGGGGGGTAGATTAGCCTTGTTTTTGACGGTGACACTTTACCGGGGAGTTGTTCAAGGTTTAGCAATGATTAATTATGCTTTAGTCCTTTAAAGTCAAAGTGATTTGAGGTCATTGGTTTAATGTCGTTTGTATCGGGATACTTGCACTGAGAGTGTAACACACACACAACAAGAGAGAGAGAGAGAGAGAGAGAGAGAGAGAGAGAGAGAGAGAGAGAGAGAAAGAGAAAGAGAAAAATACAGGGAACGAGAATGAGATGGACAGGGTGACATTCAAGCACATCTAGAAAAACATATTTCAAGATCCGATAAAGATGAACGTATCTTTCCGCACCAGCCCGGCACGCCTATTTATTTAGAGGTGTCCGTGAGATAATCTGGCGAATATTCATCCCGTGTTTGTTTGCTTGTTTGTTTGCTAGTTTATCTGTTTGTTTGTCTTGTTTCTTTTCAGTGTTCTAGAAACACTTAGACACATTTGTACAATAAAAAAACCCAAAACGTCAGACAGAAATAATAAATTATAAAAACTGTGGGAATCCACAACCCCCTCCA